AATAATTGTTTTTTTTTAGTGTTATTAAACAATTTTTCTTAAAATCCGTGGGGTTAGAGTTTTATTTTTGTTTTTGTTAGTCTGTAGGGGTTGTCTGATATATGTTTTTCTATTTTGGAGGGGTTTTGGGGTTGGTTTACTATAGTTGGGTTTGCTTAGATTTTTAAGTTTTATTAGTAGATAAATCTGGGGATTATGGGTTGAATTGTTAATATTGTTTTTATTATTATTTTTATTTTTTATCTTTAGGTAGTTTGTGGATTAAGAGAAAAAGTTGGTTTTGACTTTTATTAATTGGTCTATTGTGGGGTCCGTCAGTATTATTCTTTAACAATTTGGCTTTCCCTGGGGTTAGCCTGATATAAGTGATATGTTTGTCCCAGGAGGATTTCCTCTGACGATTTTTGTGGGTTCCCATGGGTTGAGGTCTATATTGGGGGTGTTAGTCTTTGTTGCGGTTTTAAGTTGGAGAAAGTTTTCGATGTCCGGATCTATTGTTTGTTGGGGGTACGTAGAGGTTCTAGTGTTCTTGAAGAGTAATAAGTTTGTTTTGTATTGGTTAGGGTTAGGTTTTTGAAATCTGTCTCGATAGGGTTTAGGGTTAGGTTTAGGGTTAGGGTTAGTGTTATTTGGTCCCCCACAAGTGGGGGACACAGCCTTGACTCCCAGATGGGAGCCAAGAGTGCACAGTCATCCAGCACCCAAGGACCACTGCCAGGGTCCCCACCCCCACCCCACAGCTCTCTATAATAATAAGGGTGCTTCGCGACGCGTTTCGTACCCCGCATGGGACTCATCAGGCATGGCACATAAATTCAGTTTAGATGTTTCCCCTCTGATAGTCCAAGGCCGAATGAACTGCAAGGCGGCCAAATGTCTTTTATAGCGCTTGCAGTTATTTAAAGTTATAATTAACTTTTTTCTTTTACAGGTTTCCAGGTAAGTAATATTAACTCTCTCTTTTTCCCTTACAGGACCCCAGGATCCAGGTGAGTGGCGTCCAGATTTCCAGGTAAGTATTAATTTTTTTGGTGTCCAAATTTTCCAAATATGCCAAATTTTTTATTTTCCAAATTACAATCCCATGTGCACCAGTCACATCAGTCCAAACAGTTCCATCTCCCAACAGATCCCACAGACAATCCCCCCCCAGAATAAGAGAGGGTTTAGGGTTAGGGCCGAATTGTAGGCTAGGGTTAGGGCTAAGTCAGCTTGGATAGGCTCCAGCCCCCCCCCGCACGACCCGAGTATGGATTAAGTGGTGTATAGATAATGGATGAATGGATGGATGTTCAGATGTACCAAGGGTGAAATGATTGTGGAAATGTCCAGTC